TCTTTCTTTCTTTCTTTCTTTCTTTCTTTCTTTCTTTCTTTCTTTCTCCTTCCTTCCTTCCTCTCTCTTTTTTATTTTATTTTTCAAGACAGGTTCCTCTGTGTAGCCTTGGCTGTCCTGGAACTTGCTTTGTAGACCGGGCTGGCCTCAAACTCACAGAGATCCATCTGATCTGCCTCCTGAGTGCTGGGACTAAAAGTGTGCGCCACCACTGCCTGGCTAATAGCCTTTATTCTTATACAAGTCCATCCAACTCCAAGGCAGCTGTGAAGATGGCCAAGTGACATTGTGGAGACTTTGGTACAAAGCCCACATGAGTGCATGGGAGTCGTCTACCTGTATTGAGGGGCAGAGAAGTGAACTGAGTTGCTGAAACAGGTCGAAGGGCAGAAAAAATGCCCACTTTGATTTATTCAGTGATGTGAGGATGATAAGGTACAAGGAGAATTTGGGAGAAAGGAGAGACAACTCAGGAGCCTCTCTTCCAGGGCATGAATGTAGATAGGCTTTGGCTTCTGTGTCTTGCTATGTGTGGCGCTACTCTGTGGGCTAATGGTGCTCTTTCTGTATTTAAGTGAAGGTTTGGGGTGGACCTATTTTTGGCTGTTTAGCATCTTTCAGTCCTGACTGCACCAGAAGTTTAGTATACCAGGACCCACTTTCCAAGACTGAAATATGTGATTGGCTAAAGATAGCCAATGGGCAGAGTCTACCCTCATCACCATTGACCAAGGAGGTTTAGACAGGAGGCCATGTCTACCCACCAGCATGAAGTTTGTGTAGGGGACTTGGCTGCATCTTCAGAGAATGACATGTGGGCTAGGGGCCCCTGAATCTGCGTAGACTCTAAAATGGCATCAGACCCGATAAAGACAACATAGAAGGCTTCAGAGACATTCATTTATTCAACAAGTACATATCATACATTTGCGCTGGATCAGTACCATTCTAGACCAAAAGGCATTTTAAAAAAAATCAAGTCTCATTAGACTAGGAGATAAATCTAACAAAACAACATGATTTAAGAGCCCACATACTTCACAGAAGTCTAATGTGGATGAAGGGAGAGGGTAGAAGCATAAGATGACTTGGCTGGCTGCAAGGGCCGTATAGTTTTCAGATATGAGCCATGTATCAGAATGGCATGGAAGGCTTGGTAAGACAGACTGCGGAGCCTCAGTGGAGTATCTGGCTTGGGTTAATTTTCCTTTCTAAGAGGCTCCCAGAGTGATGATGATTCTATCAATCTGAGTTCCATATTTGGAGATCCAGTGTCTTACAAGTCTGAGTCTTGAAAGATAAAAACATGGGTTGGGGGAAGATAGCCAACTGAAAGCGATGAAGTTGGGACTCAGCATTCAGTGTGAGTGCTGAGCGTTTGGCAGTCTCTGGTATGTTTCGAGTGGGGAAGGGGGAACAAGTAGGGCTCAGCTTGATTGATAGAAATGACTTTAAGTATTGGGAAAAGAAACTTGGAACTCCTTCTCTAGGTACAGGAAAACATGGGAGGGTTTTAAGCAAGACAAGGATATGTTGATTGTTAGGCTACAGAAAGAATGCAGCGTCAGCATAGAGGGATGAGGTGGGGAGTTGACAATGGGCACTGGCGCCATGAACAGCTAGACTAGAACTCAGCTAACCCTAATGAGCTGGATGGTGTCACAGTCTTTGATCTGTAGATAGTCAAGGCTGTGATAGTCTTCCAGCTCCTCATCTTCCAGCATCAGTACCTGATCCTCCATACAAGGGCCTCCATCATCCTCAATTTTCCCTTTCAGTTCCCAGATGATGGCATCAGGGTTGATGGCATAAGGCTTGCTATCGCCACTGGGAAACTTCACAAACACCTGGATCTCAGGAGGAAAGGTCTCCAGCACCCGGATGTTCACCTTAGAGAAGATTCCATAATCTGATAGGGTCTTCCGGCTGCTGAGCAGTTGTCTCTCTCCTCCTGGCTCCTGGAAGGAGATGCGCACTTCCCCGTGGAGCTCATTTGTCCTCTTGATATCTGCTTTCATCTTTCTGATGGGGCTGTAGGGGTTTTTCCAGAGACTCCATGGTTCTTTTCCTGTTTGTTTCACTATCACCTGAATGTCCCTTGCTCGCTGCAAGAGAGGGAAGAAAGAGAAAGGGCATCTGTGTGGGAAGAACTGTCTATTGTCTTAAAGCTTCTCTCTTCTAGCGTCTGGTTTGAGACATACTGAGAGATGCTGTAAGTGATTACATGAGATACCTGAGGCTTAGAGTACCACTAAGTATCCTTGAAATTCTGCCATGGGGTACTGGCTCTAGACATTAAAATACTTGACTGAATTCTGACATATTGGCTGATAAGGTAGCTGGGAATGGTTTCCTGCTGGGGTGAATGAGATGCCCCTCACTGTCTTGGGCATTTGAACCCATGGTCCTCCGTTGGTGGAACTGTTTGAGGAGCTTAGAAGGTGTGGCCTTGCAGGAGGATACTAGTGTATCAGCAGGGACAGGTTTGTGAGGTCAAAAGCTTACAAGTTTCCAATCACTGTGTTGGCTTCCTGCTTTCCATTAAAGATGCAAGCTCCAGCCGCCATTTCTGGCTGCTACCGCACTTCCCTGCCATGGAACTCTGCACACAAATGAACCCTTCCTTCTCTAAGCTGCCAACCAACTTGCTTTGGTTTTATCACAGCAATAGAAAAGTAACAGAAACAGGCTTTACTCTTGTATTTGTTTAGCACAGTCCTAGCATCTTTTTGAGCTGACACAGTATCACCCCATGTGATGCTCAAAAGTACCCTGACTTGAACTCCATCTTATATGGTGGTGCCTTCTGGATCCATTTGTGTGACTAAGATAACTCAGAAAAGAAATAAATCACTAAGCCTGGTGGTGGTGACACATGCCTAGAATCCCAGCACTTGGGGAGGCAGCAGCAGGCGAATCTCTGTGAGTTCAAGGCCAGCCTGGTCTACAAAGTGAGTTCAGGACAGCCAGAGCTGTTATACAGAGAAACCCTGTTGACAGGCAGATGCCTGGGAGATGGGATTTCTGAGAAACTGGGGGTTGAGATGGAGGCAGACTGTGGAGGTCTGAGTAAAGATGGGCCCCAATGGGCCCATATGGAATGGCACTGTCAGGAAGTGTGGCCTTGCTGGAGGAAGTGTGTCACTGTGGGGGAGGGCTTTGAGGTCTCAGAAGCTCAAGCCTGTTCTCTGCCTGTGGATCAAGATGTAGAACTCTCAGCCCCTTCTCCAGCCCCGTGTCTGCCTGCATGCCACCATGTTTCCCACCATGATGATAATGGACTAATCCTCTCAACTGTAAGCCAGCCCCAATTAAATGGTTTCCTTTACAAGAGTTTCCATGGTCATAAGGTCTCTTCACAGCAATGGAAAGCCTAACTAAGACAGAGGCTTAGGTAGGTTGGTTCTGTTTCAATTTTTCTTGCTTCCCAAGAATCCCTTGGTGGAACCTGATGAGCAGCGGGTAGACCCCAGCCAGATCCTATCTGTCTGCCTTACTGTGGGGGCCACCTCTGAGGACAAACTCAGAACTTTCCTGCAGAAGATGAAAAGCAGGTCAAGGGATAGGATTTATGTGGGTTCAGCAGCTTGGGGAAACAGCTTCCTCAGGGAACCGCTAACTCCAATCCTTGTGTGTGAACACTGGATTCTCACTTAGCTCTCAGGTCTAGGAAAGCTGTAGCCTAACGGGCAAGGCTGTGCACAGGAAAGCTGTGCGGCTGGCTTATCGTCTGTCTGAGTTGTGGGAGTCTCACTTAATTTTTAAAAATCTTATTATATGTACTATTTAACAGCAAGAAACAATACTTTGATGACCCACCGAATGGGGAAGTATTCCTCTAGGGGAGACCCAACAGGCTAGATGGAAGCGAGTAAACCCTTTGACTCTGTCCCTGAATTGACTGTAGAGCAGGGCAGATTGCCTGCCTGTCTTACAGGTGAGGCCTAGATGCTTCTAGACGGAAACTAGGCTGCGATCCTGAAGTATGTTGCGTGTGCTGGGACTTAGGGCTCCTGTAAGAAGAGTGGCAGGTGATCCAAATGAGCGTAAAAGAGAGTTGTGACTGTGAAGAGAAGGTAGTACCAGTACATGCCAGCCCCCGCTGGGGTCTTCAGTGATGCAACAGGCCTGCCGCAGGCAGTGCTTGGCCTCTTTAGCCACCAGGTCCCACGCTTTTCTGCTTCCTAGGTTGTTGGTGGGGTCGGCTGGGTCTAGGATGATGGGCCTGGGGGAGAAAATGGAAGCAGATCCCTGTTAGGATCAGGATACTGGCCTCTGGCATTCCTGTCTGTGGAATCGTAAAGCACATGATCATGGTGCATTGTCACCTAAAGTTTAAGATCACTAAAATGCTGGCTTTGGAAGTGGGGTTGTTGCCCCCGCAACCTCCACTATTTCAGACCCAAATGCGTATCTCAATCTCCAAGTGTTCTTCTAAGACTCTTTTTTTCCGAGTCTGGCAGTATTGTCATTGTCTTAGTCTTTGTCCTCCCCCATCCCCACTCCTGCTCTGTAAGGGGAAAACAGAAAAGAAGCAACACAAACAAAAATGCTTTTACTTTTTGTGGGGAAAAAAAAGCATCATGACCTTGAGAAGGGCTGGAAGGCGAACCATTTCAGTACAGTAGAGGAAACTGTTGTTTGTTTATCCCATACTACAGTGGGAACAGAAATCTGGATACAGCCTAGGTCAGCCCTGAGGAGCTCATCCACGGAGAAAGGTGGACTGGGAACTCCAGCTGACTGCCTCAGCTTCCCTAGCTGACATCTGCAGGGTGTTGTAAGGGCCTGGGGTTTGAAGCTGTGGCCTTTCTCTCCCACTCAGCCTACTCCCGTCCACGCTGCTGAATCTGATGATATTCGGCTATCAACTGCTTCTCTCCATTTGCTACTTGCTACTCTTTTTTTTTTTTTTTTTTACTTCTGCTCGCTGTATACTTCATAATTAACGGCCTCATTTAAAACTGCAAGTATGGCCAACAGAGAGCATTCTTCAGACTGTCCAGAGCAGAGTTGGTACCTGCCTTTAGGTTGGAGCAGTCCCTGCAAGCAAAGCCCTTCGCTAGATTGTAGATACAGCCTAAGCAAGCTCGCAAGAACAAATCACTGAGGTTTTGCTTGACACAGCCTTTCTTACACTGGAGATCCGGTGTCTAGAGGGGAAGGTTAGAACAGCTGCAACATGGAAGAGATTAGCCTGAACTCAACAGTAAAGCCCCGGAAGGGCACTGTTGAACAACTCATAGACAGAGAGACCTTGGTGACATAGCCGTTATTGAAGTTTCTTCACCCCTGAATGTTTTCAACTGCAAAAGCCACTTGAGTCCCTTTATTTTCCAAAGCCACCTCAGTCGGGGTTTCTAGCCCTTAGAGCCAGAAATAATGTGGCGGATCTACCCACCGGTCTCCCTTCAGCTGTTCTTTGAGAAAGTTCCCGACGACCTCGTTGCGGAAATCATAGTACTTGGTCCAGTATATGCAGATGTCCTCGTAGTCCCTGAGGAGCTCCATCACGGCTACAAACCCTGCATCCAATCTGAAGCTCTCGCTGCTCTCTGTGCCCATTTCCCAGGCATAGATGGTCAGAAGCTCCAGCGCATACTTGGAGGGCAATCGTGCTCTTCTGTATTTACGTCTCAGGTACTGGGGAAGGCAAGGAGAGAAGGAAGGGTGGGGGAGAATGGAGGGAGGCAGGGGGCGGAGACAAAGAGAACATGGAATGACTGGTGCTCCAAGAACTCCGTTTTTCCTGTTGCTCTATGTGACACAGCCACGAAATGGTGAGCCTAAATGGACTTATGGTCGGGGTTTTCTGTACACCATCTGTGTATCAATCCATATTTCCTGGTTGGAATGGAGACAGCAATGTGGTGCATTTGGAATTCTATACCTGTATACAGTGTGTTTTGATCATAGCCACCCCAACCCCACCCATCTCCTCATCCCCTCCTCTTCATCCTCCTCTTGTTTTTCTTTTCTTTATATCCCATGCAGTCCGGTTGGAGCTGCCCTCATGTGCAAGGGTGTGGGGCCGTTCACCAGAGCATGGGCAACCTATCAGGAGCCACACCCCTGGGAAAAATCCCTCTCCTAGGAGCCATCAATGGCCGGTAGCTCTCAGCTCTCCCCACATAGACGCTGGAATGCCAACTGGTTTAACCTTGCACAGGTCTCATGCAGACAGCAGAAGCTGCTGTGAGCAATGAGCAGTGAGGCCGTCATGGCCATAGGACACTATTCTGTAGCCATCATCCCTGATCTCCTGCTCTTAGCCTCCTTCTGCCTCCTCTTCCTCCATGTTTCCCCAGCCTTGTAGACAGGAATGGTGTAGGTGGCTCATAGGTGTTGTGAATACAGCTATGTACACCAAGATTGGCTCCCAGTGATTTTTGTCTTGTGTGTGTGCATGTTGTCATACATGTGGAGGTCACAGGCCAACCTTGGGTGTCATTGATCACCTTCTACCTGAGAGTAGCATTTTTTAGCAGAATAAGTGAGAGTCAAGGGATGCAGCTGAGTGTCTGACTACTTATCCAGCCTGCACAAGGCCTGGGCTCAATCCCTCAGGACTAAAAAAAAAAAAAAAGTGTAACAGAACAGACCACTTAGAGTTAGTTCCTGTTAGATTTGTGGATTTCACACTTTTAACAAAGGTAGTGTTTTAGTTCAGCAAGAAAGAGATGCATAATTCAAAATATGATGTATATATAACTTGTTAGTCATATTATAAGAAAAACTAGGTGACTATATTCTCTCTCTCTCTCTCTCTCTCTCACACACACACACACACACACACGCACACTCAGTCACTAAGTCCAACTGGAGTTGCCCTTATGAGCATGGATACAGTTTCTCCCCACACGGATATGCAAAGATGCACACACACAAATTGTTTTACCTTCTCTTTTAGACATTTTTGATGGTGTTTGAAATTTTTCAACAGTGTGAAATGATGGGTCCATTGCAGTATTTAAATAACCATATTATTTTTTCTATGGAGAGAGAGATGGTTCAGATAAGTAAAAAAAATCTATTAGAGAAGTCAGGAATACTCATCTATAGAAATCTGAGCCAGGAAGGTGTCTAGGTGGGTAAAAGATCTCCAGAAATCATATAAATGCTTGTGGGGGGATGTGTCACGCATACCTACAATCCCAGTACCAGGGAGGCAGAGACAGGGGCTCCCTGTCCTAGGTAGTTAGACAGCTATGTACATAAGTCTAGAGTCAACTGAAATACCTTGTTTCAGTATATATGGAGGCTGAGGAAGACAATCAATCTGAGACCTACACACGCAGACATTCAGACACACAAACACAGACACACACACACACACACACACACACACACACACATATATATATATACACACACATATAATTTGCCAAAAAAACTCACTATGTTCTCAAATTATGTGTATATGTGTGTCTGTGTGGGTATGCGCATGTGAGTGCAGTGCACATAGAGGCCAGAAGAGGGCGCTGGATCCTTTGGAGCTGGAGTGACAGTGGTTGTGATCTGCCCGAAATGGGTCCTGGGTACTGAACTTGGGTCTGGTGCAAGAGCAGTAGGTGCTCTTAGCTGCTGACCCATCCCTCCCGTCCACTATGTTCTTGAAGGTGGCCTGGTTAGAGCCAGTAGGTGAGTGGTGGGTGGATGAAAACATTTGCAGCACAGATGGGTAATGGTAAATGCCTGCAGCTCATGAGGTCTTACAACTGATGGGGTAAAGAAAAAGTATGCAAATGACACAAACAGATGGTGCTCTCACACTGGACTCCAAGGGCCAACAGCAGGTGTGTTTAAGGGTGGACCAAAACCACACTGGGATGGCGTGACTCCAGCTACCTAATATCCGAGTATGAGCTGTGTGAATACAGACAGAAGCAAACACGAAAGAGAAGACACTGCTCTGCTGCCGGTTCACCCCGGTCGCTTGTGAACTTCACCTTTTCCTTACTCATTGTCCACAGAGTTTTGCTTTGTTTTTCTAATGAACCCTTTGCGCTATTTAGATGACCAGAAAGAAATACTGTGATGAAGGACATGTCTTTGTGACTGCTCGTGAACTAAAATTCTCGAGTTGGGCATTCTTGCTCAAATCTCAGCTCTAGCTTTAATTGCCCAGCCTCAGTTTTTTTCATCTCCCAAACGAGGGTTAGAAGCGTCCATTAGAAAGCAGCCGGAGAGACTAACCGGGAAATCATGTGGCGTGAACAGCCCAGATCATAGCACCTAACTAATACTCCACACTGGTAGCTTCATTGTTGTCATCAAAATGCCACTTGCTGAGGCTTGTTGAAGGCATGTTTGTTCTCATCAGTAGGTACTTAATTGCCCTTGGGGAAGGTGTCATTGGAAGCAGGAGGCTCTAAGCCAGACACAAACACTATCACCAACTATAATGCCTGGCTCCGCTACTGGTCAGTGTACTGCAGGTCACAGATAGCTTCCAGCGGTCCAGTTTCATTCACTGTACATCCTGCCTCTCATTGGCTTTTCTCAACCCCACCCCATCTCTCTTGGTGGTGCTGAGGACTGACCTCAGGGCCTTAGGCATCCCAAGGAAGCACCATGCCAACAAACTACACCCCCAGCCCCAGTTAAGCAAAAACCCATGCTGGGCTGTGCCTGCCCTCTCGACCCAGCTCTCACCTGCAGGTACCAGAACTTCACTAGCCGGAGGAGGTCCTTCAGTTTAACAGGGCGGCTCTTCACGAAATGCCTCTGCAGCTCTGTGAAGCTCGGGGAGAATTCCCCGGGGTAGCCCCTACTCTTTATTAGCTTTTCGTAGATTTCTGGTGCTGGTTTTGAGTCTCGGGAAAAGGATCCTGGGAGGAGAAACTTACTGGTCAGGAAACTCTACCTTGTGAGATGGGAAAGATAGGAAAATCTCTCTTTGCCCCCTCTTTCATCCTTTCCGCCCTCCCTCCCTCCTTTTTCTTTTTTGACAGAGTCTCTCTGGGTATCCCAGGCTGTCATTAGGCTTGTGACTTGCCTGCCTTAGCTTCTTGAGTCCTGGAATCACAGTCATCTTACCCCACTCCTCCCTTACCCCTCATCCCAAAACTAAATCAGTAGAGGCTTAGATGGTCATATAGACCATCAGGCACTGGGCTCATGAAATCCGAGGGTCAGCTCCACAAAGGTGGTAAACATAAAGGCAACCATGGGAAATCGCCATTTTTGTAACTGAAATGCTGGCAAATATGATCAGTTCCTTTGACTCTATTTAACATTATCACATGTAATAAGCTAGTATGCTCAGTTTGGAGGTGCTGAGTAGTTGGCCCAATGTAGTACAGGTTGTTAAATGAGACACAGTTCTCCATGTAGCCCTGGCTGTCCTGGAACTCACCCTGTAGGCTAGCCTTGCCTTACGCCTGGCAAGTACACCTAAAAATCCCAGCACTCAGGGAGGCAGAGGCAGGTGGAGCACTGTGAGTGTGAAGCCAGCCTGGTGTACAGAGTGAGTTCAGGACAGCCAAGGCTGCTACACAGAGAAACCCTGTCTCAAAAAGCCAAAACCAAAGAAAACCAAAACCAAAAACAAAAAACAGAAATTCCCCCTGTATCTGTCTCCCAAGTTTTGGGATAAAAAGCATGTGCCACCATGGCCCAGCTTGAGAGACTTATTTTAAACATGGTTCTAATCCAGTTCCATCTAATCCAGACCTTGGAATGTTTGATTGACCTGGTGTTTCCCAGAGGCTGGGCAGGAATTCATTCTTTATGATGAATCCTCTATGAGAGTCCCTGCAAGAGTCTCTGTGGAATATATCCATGGAAGGATGTGCATCTTCACAACATAGCCACAGTCCCATTTCCACTTCCTCTAACCTCTCCCAAAAGAAGGAGACCCCAGAATCATTTCTCTGAAGAACCAACACTGGATTTACCCAAAGCATCATAAGCCATGAGAACATCCATCGGGATGATGTCATTACTCTTCTTGGACTGGATCCGTAAGGTCAGGGAGCGAGGGGTCCTGTTTCCCTCTCTGTGTGTAACCACAGTGATTTTGTAGGCCAGGCTGTTCCTACAGCGAACCAGCTTCTCTTTCATGAAGTTGATGACGCGTTCTCGGCTTCGCGCCTGATGTTTGAAACTGGAGAAGCAGTTTAGGAACAGAACCATGTCCTGGTCAGATCTGTGATTCAGCGTCGTCCCCTTTCCTGAGGAGCCTCCCTGTGGAAGGTGACAGTGCCCTGAGGTTGAGAGGTAAGCCAGAGCCATTCAAACTAAGTTCTCTATAAAAATCTTAAAAGAAGCCATTGGTTACCGTCATGGAGACCTTCACTGTGGCCATCCCTAGTCCAAAAATTGAGAAATCGAAATGCTCTGAAATCTCAAGCTTAAAAACAACAAGAACATTGCCAGAGAGTGGTGTCACACATCTTTAATACCAGCACTTGGAAGAGGCAGGTAGATCTCTGAGTTCAAGGCCAGCCTGGTCTACAGAGTGAGTTCCAAGACAGCCAGAGCTACTCAGAGAAACCGTGTATGAGGGGGGAACCAACAAAAACACCATCACCACCACCACTTCTCATGTGTACAGGAGTTTTGTCTGTGCACAGCATGTATGCCTGGTGTCCTCAGAGGCCAGAAGAGAACGTCTATTCTCTGGAGGTAGAGTCACAGCCGGTTGTGAGACACTCTACGTGAACTTCAGAACTACAACCCATCCCCAAACAAATCACTGTTTGAAACACGCTATAATGACATACAATACTTTGTTTACTAACTAAAAACCAAAACAAGATGAAGGTGCATGATTCTCAGCTCCTCCTTTCCTCCTGCTAGACAATGCCTCATTATGCAGCTAAGACTGGCCTGGAACTTGCTATGTAGCCTAGGTTTAATAGGCTTAACGGATAATTCTCCTGCCTCAACATCCCGAGTACTGGAGCTATAGGGGCCGCCACACCCAGCTCTGGACTTCCTTTTTTTGTTGTTGTTTCTTTCAGGTCCTGGAAGTGAAGAGGCTGATCCAGTATTAGACCTAGGAGCTGACAGGTAGGTCAGAGGTTTGGAGGAACCAGGACACAAGAGGGACACTTTGTATCTTTTGAAGCTGTAGGAGTTTCAGTTTCTGTCTTTAGAACTGTTTTGCTAAGAACTCTGTCTGATCCTTGGTTACAGCACTCTGTCTAGAGTCTTCATAGTCAAAAGTTCTTTCCCTGCAGTGTTAACCTCGGCCACTATGACTCAGAGTTCCTAGATAAAACTGGACTTACTCAAATGAATGTAAGATATCGTTCATTTTAGGAAAATGAACAACAGCCAGGTTTCTGATCCAAACCATCTTGATTGAAGGGGATGTGTTGTTAAGTTTGTGCTTTCTGAGAGAAATGAAGCTTTACTGAATTACCCAGTAATTCCAGGCAGCCCCTGGAATCCCACTGAGTTTACCAACTACTGTCTGGCTAGGTAGTTTCTAAGATTTCAATAGCATCAACTTAGGAGAATAGGTTTACTGTATAACTTCAGAGGTAAAGTAGCATTTTGAACTTCTTTGGTTTGTTTTTGTTTTTTCCAGACAGGGTTTCTCTGTGTAGCCCTGGCTGTCCTGGAACTCACTCTGTTCAGGCTGGTCTTGAACTCAGAAATTCACCTGCCTCTGCCTCCTGAGTGCTGGGATTAAAGGGGTACACCAGAGTAGAAAAATTTCTTTTCTTTTCTTTCCATCTTTCCATCTTTCCATCTTTCCTTCCTTCCTTCCTTCCTTCCTTCCTTCCTTCCTTCCTTCCTTCCTTCCTTCCTTTCTTTTGAATAGTATTTCTTAAGTAAGAAGCAAAGGCACACATTTTGTGAAACCTGGCAACTATGGCCATTCAGAGATCAGAATCCCAAATTATCATTACCACCTCTGTCCTTCAGTTCTGCAAACAAGGCTAATTTTATGCACATTTTCTATGCATTATTCCATTTATTGCTTATAATAAACCCAACTAAAGAAGCTGATGCTGAGGCTCAGAAATGGCCTGAAATGGCCACCTCAGAAATGGCCACCTACCAAGGTCACAAGCCCCACAGGGCAGAGGTGAGATTTGAACCCAGAACTCTCAGTGCTCACCTTCACCACCTTAATCACTTTGACTTCTTGGTCCAGGAGCAGCTCATCACGGAAGCACTGTTCCCGAAAGAATTTCTCGATTCTCTCCCAGGCATCCTGCCCTTCCTCCTTCCAGTCCCTCTGGGGCTGAAGGCTGTGCTTCAGGAAGTGGTCCAGCATGTCCCCAGGGGTCCCATATAGGTCAGGGATTGGATCCATCTCTGCAGGACTAGCCAACCCTTGGAGTGGATCCTCTGTGCTTCAGCTCAACCCTGCTGGGAGAAGCTTCCTGCCTTCTTGGTCTCTCCTGATAAACACTGGCGAGGGAGAGAGCTGCCTCTGCTTCCAAGGAGGAGAAAGGCAGCACTCTTCCTCACCCCGCTGGGCTGTCTTTCAGCTCAGCAGCCAGGGCAACTGGAAACAGAAACCAAGCTTTCTCAAGAATTGAAAGTGAAACTGCAGGGAGATCAGTTTCCTTTCCTCAAGGCTGTAATTCAGGATGGCAAACAGCCTCCCGCAAGGCTCTGCTGTGAGCACCAGATGTGTCTTTTTGCCACATCAGAACAAGGTTTAGCAGTTTCAATGGCAGTGATTGGCCACAGAATCTCATCTACCCCAGGGATCTGGCAGGGGCAAATGCAATCTCTTTTATGCCGTTCTTAATTACTAACGGTGATACTAACAGTGTCTGGAGGGATAGGTAGATACACATGGTTATGCTGAGGGTCATCTCGAAGCATCACATCTGCGTCCTTAACTATGGACCTCAGCCAGTGTCCCCAAGGCTGCTCACCTGTGCACATATCTTAGTTGAAGGTCAGGTCCAGGGTCAGACTCTCCAGCCGCAGGGCAGATCAAGGTAGCATCTCTCCAATGTCTGCAGCAGTCCTGAAGATGTGCAGAGCAGAGCTTTGCTCCTGATCTTTGCTTACAGTGTCAGGCGGACGGTGTGAGCCTCTCCTCCTACTCAGGGTTGTGTCTGGTTATCTTGAGTGATGTCACCTGGTTCTGGTGATCAGCTGCACCTTGGGTGCAGTGGGGTTCCTGGCTAAGCTATTTCACATGTCTGACAGGCTTTTCTTTTTTTTTTTTTTCTATGTTCATCACAAACAGTAACCCTTCTATCACACTACACAGTAAATATATCTCTATCTTGTCGTGGGTAGTTTGTCTTCTCTGCTTCCTTAGCATGGGCAAGAGACCTGGGTGAAATAGAGAACTGAATCTGTCTGCTCCTGGAGTCAGGGTGGCTGACCTCTGTGGAGTGAGCCTGCAGCTTGGCTAAGCCAAAAAGCCTAGCATTTACTTAGTTCTTTGTTTTCTTTTTAATTATAAAGATGTGTGTGTGTGGAGTGAGTGTGTGTGTGGTGTGTGGTAGGATTTATATAGAAATGATGCCACGTACAACAGATCTGATGTAAAAGATTCATTGGACGGAGGTGAAGAGAGACACAGTCGGGGGGGGCATGCCAGGAAAGAAAGCAAGGTGGAACGAGTGCAAGAGAGAAAAGCAAGAGCAGAGAGAAAGAGAGAGAGAGAGATAGGGGAGGGGTCACCCCAATAGATAAAGAGGAGAGAGCAAGAGGGAGGAGAGAGAGGAGGCAGGGGTCCTTTTATCTCGGGCCCCTATGGGAAGTGACCAATGATGACATCACAGGTGCCTAAGTAACCTGGGAGTGGGCTAGTGCATCAAGATTTATGAACTAACGTGTGTGTATGTGTATGTTCTGTATGTGTGAGTGTTGTGTATTTGTGTGTGATGTGTATGTATGTGTGTATATGTGGTGTGTTTGTGTTTTCAAGTGTATATATGCAACTTGTGTGTAATACTGGCAGAGGGCAGAAGAGGGCACTGGATCTTATGGAAGTTACATGCCCTGTGGGTGCTTGGAGCTGAACCCCGGTCTTCTGCAAGAGCAGCCAGTTTTTATAACGGCTAAGCCAGCTCTGTAGCCCCAATTCATTCAATTAATTTTTAAGTTAACACACAAAGTAACATACTTCCTCATGCATGGCCTTTTCATACACACTTAGCTTTAGCTGACCCCCCTGCTCTTCCTGTCTCTCCTCTCCCTGGCCCCTGTCTCCATTGTATAGGTGCTGCATATTTTACTATCCATTCACCCGTTGGTGGACATCTAGGCTGTTCCCATTTCCCTCCTGTCTTGAAGAAAGCAGTAAAAACCATGGATGTGCCGGTGTCTCCGAGGGAAGAAGATGCCGTGCTGGGAGCTTTTTGTCAGCTTCTCAGACCTAGACACGTCTGGGAAGAGGGACTCTTAATTTAAGAAATGCCTCCTAGGCGTGGCCTGTAGGCAGGTCTGTAGAGACACTGAACTCCCTTGGTTAATGATTTAGTGTAGCAGGGCCCAGATCACTGAGGGCAGTGTCACCCTGGGTGAGTCGGCCTGGGTGTTATAAGAAAGCAGCAGGAGGTCTCTGAAACACGGAGTTTATTGTGCTGTTACAAGCATTAGTTAATTAGAGTAGCAGTACGGGACAAATTCCCTAAGCTCCCAGCAACTTGGGCAGACAGTGGTCGGACAAACATCACTGGACCTAAAGAGCCAGCCAGGGTGCTATGTTTGCTTGTGTGTTTGTTTTGAGACAGGGTAGCGATGTGTACCTGGCTTTGAACTTGCAATGTTCCTGGTTGTCTCCCAGGTGCTGGGATGACAGCTCTTGTTCATCACCAAGGCTGCCTGCCAAGGTATTGTATAACGGTGGTGAGAACAAACAGAAATCAAGGCCAGGAGACAGTGCGTGCTACACACATGGTCAACACCGAACACACTCTCAATTTCAGACTTTCAGATGGGAAGTAAGCAGGGGTCTCAGTACCTCGGAATGGGTTTTAGGGGCCACGGAAAATGGTGCCTGGGCTTGAGGCACTCCTCGGAACCGTCTAAGAAACACAAAAATCACATGGGCGAAGCCAGGACCCTTAGGGCTTGGCCGGGCTGTGGGGCGGCCAGGGACAGCTGTGATTTTGGAGTTCTGGGGAATGCGTGCATTCGGTGCTTCAGCTCAGGCTAGCGCCAGGTCCCACCCTCTTCCGACCTGCACCACTCATCATGGCCAGAGAGGGCGCCAGAGAACAGGAAAAGGATGGTAAGCAGGTGTGGCTTCTGGTGGTGGGCGTGGCCCAGAGACTCTTGCTGTGATTGGTCAGGCGGGTCACAGGGGCGGGGCTAGCGTGCAGAGTGGGCTCTGCGTTCCGAGGTGGCAGCGGGCCTGTCAGGGAGGACTTTCTCCTGTGGTGAGACTCACGAGCCGGCTGTGGAGAAGCGCGTCCCTTTTCTGAGGAGAGAGAGGAAGTCTTTTCCTCACTTTTCTGGCCCTTTGCTGTTGGCCTGACCTAAGTCCTCGCTGAGGAGAAGGCCCGCGTTAGAGATCTGAAAGCTGAGGCGGTCAGCTGACATAGGGCCCGCCCCTGCGTCCCTCAGGCTTGTGGGGTGCTCGCCTGTATTCAGCTCTGAGGCCGCCCTCCTGCCTCCCCCTGGCGAGTCCCTAGTGGACATACCGGCTGGGTTTTGTTGTTCTTGTTTATCTGTTTTCTTCCCATTAAATTGTCATCACCATGTTAGATTTTGATGTTACTTTGAACAAAATGGCACCGATCATTGAGGAATAAGATGTAACTTCCCATAAGCCATCCTGTCCATTACACCAGCAGTTCTCAAACTGTGGGTCGCGACCCCTCTAGGGTTCGAAGGACCCTTTTGCAGGGGTCGCCTAAGACCATTGGAAAACACAAATGTTTACGTTACGATTCCTAACAGTAGCAAAATTACAGTTATGAAGCAGCAACGAAAGGTGTTTCTGAACTGTCATTGGGCTACCCTGTCACTTGGCCCACTTGTCTAGGGGAGGGGTCCCCCACAGTAGGCTGGTCCCTCTTACACTTAATTAGTAATTTTTTAAAAATGTCCACAAACATGCTCCCAGACCAACCTGATAGAAATAATTCCTTCTCATGTGTTTCAGGTTGACATTAAAAGCAGCCAACACAAATCTCCTTTGATGTCCTTCCACTTTGTCTCTTGCTTTGTGGCGTTTGAATAGGCGATGGCTGGCCGTCAGCATCCTGCTGGACCTCCCTTCTAGGGTGTGCTCTCTACGGTGCCAAGAGCCTAAATAAACACTTTCTTCCATAAGCTGCCCTGATCATGGCATTTTGCCACAGCGACAGAAAAGTAACAAATAAAGCAGTTGTTATCAGACTGTGCACTGCCGTTGCAAAGAACCTCACCCTGTTATTTGGTTGGAGAAATGTGGAAAACCTCGAGACTTTACATGAGAAAAGGGTCTAAATGCTATAAGCAGTCAACAGAAGGTGGGGAAGGCGAGTCTGCGGTGGTAACCCTGCATCCCAGCCCTGGGTGATGCCAACATACAGGGTCCCTCTACCTCTGGCTGCACAGGAACCGTGCATTTTCATTGTCTAGGTGTTCTGGGTGAGTGTGATTGTCTTAGTTGCTGACCATGTTTCGCTGTGATAAAATACACCGAGGAACGCAACAGACGGGAGGAGAGATTTCTTTTGGCTCTCAGTTTCGCTGTGCCAGGATAGTAACGCAGTGAGAGCCCCAGACAGATGGCCACGTTGCATCAGCAGCTGATGAGTGCTAAGTGCTGATGCTCATCTTGCGCTCTCCTTTTTGTGCAGTTCAGGGCTGCAGCCCCAGGGATGGCATGACCCACCTTTGGGATGGGTCTCCTCACCTCAGTTAACCCGTCAGAACTGTCTACCGCAGTAACGCAGAGGCTGACGTAATCTAGACGACCCCCTGATAGTCACGCTTGGGGGCCTGTCTCTCTGTGATTGTAGATCCTGTCAAGCTGATACGCAGTGCTAATCGTCGCGGTTACTTTTGAGGGTTGCTCTCTCCCTATTATGGCAACACAGGATCTCTTCTAGGAGGCCTCAGAAACATAAGAGGAAAACCAGCTCTTCTCCCCTCACTTCCCCTGAGGACCTGAAGTGTGGCGGCCTGGAATGGAGGCAGTGGAGGAAACTTTGGGTCGAACTGTGTGAGCTCCTAATGAGCAGAAAGCATGTGGGTCTGGAATCCTGGATAAAGCTGCCTTTGGAGCTCTCAGAGGCTTGTCAAAGAGCCCAAGGCCTGGACAGGGAGTACGTTACTTCATGGCCTCCAACAATGACAGGGCCTAAGCATTAACTGTGCCCCCCTACTGCCATCGAGAGTCCCTTTACTCATGGTCGTGATGTGCTGTATAACCCTGGCTCCTCCAGATCCATCCGTGTCTTTGAACACAGTCTCCTCTGGACAGACCTGAGTATTGCAAGCTGGAACTTCCCTCTCTCCAACCAAAAATATGCTCAGGGCATTAGCTGATTTGTCTGGTTGTGAGCTGATAAATAGCCTCCTTTCATGA